CAGTTTCAGCAAGCAGAGTTGTGTCATCTGCATAACGCAGATTGTTAATAGATCTTCCACCAATCCTGATGCCACACTTCTCCTCATAGAGTTCAGTCTCCCGGATAATCTATTCTGCAAACAGGCTGGAAAGGTATGGAGACAGGACACATCCCTGGCACACACCCTTCCAAATTTTGAAAAATACAGTGTTTCCTTGCTCTATTCTGACAACTGCGTCTGGGACCAAGCATGTTGTTGTTGTTGTTATGTACTGTCGAGTCACTTGTGACTCATAGCGACCCTATGTACAACATCCCTAAACTCGGCTCTGTCCTGTGCCAATCGATACACCCATCCCGATTACCCCAGTCACTGAATCAATCCACCTCTTAGGGGGCCTTCCCCTTCTATGCTGTCCCTCCACCCTACCAAGTATGATGTCCCTCTACAAGGACCTGTCCCTCCTTGCAACATGTCCAAAGTATGATCCTTGCCTCCAAGGAGCAGCCCGGTTTGACCCTTTCAAGAATGAATCTGTTTGTTTTCCTAGCAATCCATGGTACCCTCAATACTCTTCTCCAGCATCAAAGCTCAAAGGCATCAATTCTCCTTCTGTCCTCCCTAGTCATTGTCCAACTCTCTGATGCATAACAAGTGACTGCAAAGATCATGGCCTATATCAGATGCACCTTAGTCTCCAGAGAGACACCACTGCTCTTCAGGACAGCACTTTCCCATGGCAATACATCTTCTAACGTCCTGGCTACTAGTGCCGAGAGTGTTGACTGTGGAGCCAAGCAAACTGAAGCTGTGAACAATCTCAATCTCTTCACCATCCATCCTGATGCTTCCAATTGGCCCAGTGGTGAGAATCTCTGTCTTCTTGACATTGAGCCTAAATCCATACTGGAGGCTGCAGTTCTTGACCTTCTGCAACAAACACTTCAGGAACTCTTCAGTTTCAACAAGCAGGATTGTACCAACTGCATATCGCAGACTGTTGATAGATCTTCCAGCAATCTTGACCCCCACATTTCTCCTCATAGAGCCCAGTGGACAGGATAATCTGCTCCAGAGGAGTTGTGGGAGGATATCAAGGGTATCATCCAGGAAGTGGGCAAACAATCATTGAAAAGACAAAAGACGAAGAGAAGACCAAAATGGATGTCAGAAGAGACCCTGAAAATTTCACTGGAGTGCAGAGAAGCCAAAGCAGAGGGAAGAATTCAAGATACTAAAGGGTTGCATAGAAGATTTAAAAAGGCAGCATGGGATGACAAAGGAAAATATTACAATGAAATGTGTAAGGAGCAGGAGTCAGAAAATCAAAAGGGCTGAACTCGCTCAGCATTTCTTAATCTCAAGGAACTGAAGAACAAATTCAAACCTCTAGTTGCTATAATCAAGGATGCTTTAAGCAGAATATTAAATGATCCAGGAAGTATTAAAAAGAAGATGGAAAGAATATACTGAGTCACTGTATTGAAAAGAATTGGC